AATTTGGTCTGGGCCCGAGGTGGGCTTAATAGCCGGCGACTACTGTAGTAGGAGGAGTACTAGCCTCGGTCTCCTTGAGCCTGTCTTGACACCTGCTGACGTTGAGTGAGGTTAGGTAGTGTGGTTGTACCAGCGCAAAAGTCTACTCTCACTTAAGGCTCAGTTAGGCGGTTTTCTGGCCCGCATTGGAGAAAGCGGGTTACGCCTGATTCCCGTTCGGTCATCTTGGCTCTGTCTGTTCACCGGTTGAAGCTTGCTGAGGGTTCAGAGTGAGGTACACGGCAGCATGTCTATTTTCACTTAAATCTAATCCCCGACTGCAGTCACCCTCCCTGCTCCTGAGCACATCATGAACTTCATCGAAATCGATGGCCGAACTATCAGTCGACGACACACACACACACCACCCTCTGCACGTCCGGGGATCGTCGCGGGGCATGTAAGCGTTCGGTCACACTATCGGAATGAAAACTGGAATTTTGTGTGAGATGACGGGTGTGACTGTGTGCGGGTGCTCCTTGTGCTGAAGTATCGCCCCAGGTTGCTGTGCCACGCTGCTATTTTGCTTTATACCCATGCGTCTGCTGTCTTCAAAAACATTTCCGCCGTCACCGTCTTAGTTTCCCGTTTCCAGTCCTAGAAAGGTTCTGCGACGTTGTTTGTATGGAATTGGGGTGTGCAAATTTTTGTCGTTGTTGAGGCGCGAATTGTTGATCTCGACGCCGCTGTGTTGCCCCGGCAACTGCAAATCAACGCAGCACGTGGATTATAGTACGTTGGGCTTTGGAAAACCGCAATGCGCTGTACCTCGCAGAATAACAAGTGTGTAGAAATTTCCGTCTAGAGATGGTGCTGCATATTGAGAGCAAAGGTAAAAGCTGAAAGTCCAGGCGCGTGTTTCGCCCACGATCTACCGCTGCTAGGGAGGGGGGTTTAGCTCACCCGTGTGCCCCCCCCCTTCCCATCGTTCTCTCTGTGTTCTTTCTGGAAGATACTCTGAAGTTAATCCGAATTTCAGCCTTTTACTCTGCTCAGGAAGTAATCCACTAACTTTAAGTAAAGTATTCGACATTAAATTTTATGGATTTTGGATCCGGATGTTTTAATTAAAAGCCTCATCAGCCACAGCGGGATAATTGCATAATATGCGTTAACTGCCCGTAGACGGCCAGAATTTCTGTCTAGACTGGATATTGGACACCTTCCTTTCCTGGATTCTGCCGGACGTTTATAGATTCAGTTCGCCCGAACTTAGCACTTGCGACGAGAAACTTCTAGATAAACACTTAGCCGAAAAGGCGTGCCTAAGTTGCCAAAAATTGCCTTTCCGTACACGGCAAACAGTTTTGCCTTTATCTGTAAATGTCAGCGGTTTCAGGAGAGGAATTTCCACTTCGACTTCGTTGTGCACTGTCCTTGGAAACCTTGCCTACAACATTTTTTCTATGCTGCCCTGGGAGACTAATTGATAAACCGTTTTCTTTTTTGTTTGCTAAAGGATTGAATCGAAACACAGCATCCCTCGCGGGATCAAACTATAGAAGGCACTGTATCTCGTAAACGAGAGAACCCCAACTTCATCCCAAGGTCGTTGCCGAATGTTTAAATATAGTTAAATTCAGAAGAGCAGTTGTCGAGCATGAGTAGGCTTTCGATAAATTCTCATCGGACCAGTACACTTATATAAGAAGCCTACTACTACTGCTACTGCTAA